CAGTTTAGTTAATTGCAAGGGGCAGCAAATTTTAAGATCCACTGAGGTAGGTAACTACCCAGATCAAATCCTCCCTCGATTTCATATGCATGCTAAATGATATTCTTATTCCAATCCTTAGAGGCTTATCCAAGCAATAACTTCACACGCAAATTTATTGATCCAATTTTATATGCCCAACAAGCTAAGCAGCAGAGGTAATAGAAGCAAATCAACTGTGTGAAAAGTACAGGGTAAATATTACAGCACAAGAACACCAAGCATATATATATATATATATATATATATCACAATTTCTTGCAACCTGAGCAAAGACAATACATTTTATATTTTTTTTTGGTCTGCCTTTTACTTACAAACCATATGCACAAGCACGTACGAATGCCCTCTGGGACATGGTTGGAATCAACAAACAACTTATAATGTTTTGTGTGTTCTGAAATGGTGTGTAAATGAAGAAGGACGGGCTGACAAAAAGGAAATGGAATTAGAAGGAGAAGTTCAACAACTCCATGCTCAAGCTCTCCATCATCACGTTCTCCATGAACAATCCGCATTTGGCTGGAGGCTTCTTGAAGCTGAAGCTCTGGCCACGAGGCTTGAAGGAGCAGGACGAGATGGGGAGGATTGGGATGTTCTCGCAGTTGCAGAGCTCAATCATGTAGCCATCTGGGTCGTGGAAGAACACCTGATCCACCTTGCTGTCTTCTTCATCCCCCTCCACCACCGCCGTCACGTACCTCATCCCCAGCTCCTCGAGCCTCCTCTTCACCAGCTCCACGTCCGTGCACTGGAAGGAGATGTGGTTATCCCTTGGGTTGATGGGCCGCACTTCATTCATGCACGCATCAAACACATCCTCACTGTCTGGATTCTCGATCAAGTGAATCCCAATACCGTAATTGTACAACCTGTGCCACAAATATCATGGATGGAGATGATATATATTGGTCTGAAATAAGCTAATTGATAAAAGGGAAGATATGAAGAGACAGAAAGAGCGCAAGCTAGCTAACCAGGCGCCGTTGAACTTGAAAGAAGAGGGACGCTTGATGAGAACGAAGCCCAAGACGTCTTCATAGAACCTCACAGAGTCCCACACGGATCTGCATAACAGGGACACATGATTCAGCGAGAGCAGGGGAAGTGCTTCCTGGCTGCCTATTTCCTCGATCTCCATATTTCTCTCTCTTTATCTTTGAGTTTGCTGTGAATGCTATTGCCAGATTTAGTTCTTATATACACCGAGCAATTCGTACGGTCATATTCAGCGGGAACTTTCCACGAAAATTCTTTTGATCCATGGAACCATACATAGGATGATGATGCTGCGCCATACTACTCATTAGCACATACATGTCATAGAATTAAGCTCGATTTTTCATGCTCTGTACTTGTTTGTTCGCTTCTACTCACAGCACTCGATATTTAGTCGAGCACACCCACTCCCAAAACGCTGAGAAATTTCTCCGATGCTTCCCACTAATTTCTAGGAAGCCCACTAGAGTCTTCTATTCTGTTACTTTTTACCCCTTGAACTCAGTACTTCATTAAAAATCAACGCAACAGATCATTACAATCTATATATATATATATAGAATGTCCATGATGTGCTCATTTCCTTGTTGATTATTTCTAAACTAAAATAAAATTGAATTGAAGTGATTTAATTTAGTTTTGGTCCGTTTAGTTCAATTTTACTTTTTGGATATATTTAGGCAAACCGTATGTTAGTTAAAATATTCAAAAATATTATATTATTGATAGCATAATGCATCTTTCAACCATTACCAATGACTAGCTTTTTCTGCATAAGCAACACCATCTAGATGATTAAACGAGTGTGTAGAAATTGAAAGCTCTTTAGCACTCAAAACTATGGGTCTTCAGCTTGTCCTGTCCCAATCAATTCAGAATGGGACGGGATAGGAAAAAAATTTTTTAAAACGGGACGACTACGGGATGGGACGAGATGCAAGACAGAGTCGTCCCGTCCTGTCCAGGAGTAAATTTTTTTAAAAAAATTATCTATTAATAATTATTATTAGATTATTCAATGCATTTATTAATAATAATTATTTTTATAGTGATTTTCAACTCTTAAGTTGCAGTATTATTTCAACAAAATCACCTTCCTCAATAAAATAATTTATAAAACCATTATGTAATGTTTCTTTTACAGTATTATTTTTACATTGTTGTTTTTACCCCTTTTTTATACTATATAATTGAACTTTCTACATAATTTTTTTATAATGTATTTATAAGCTCAATAAAAAATAAACATTATAACATAAAAAAATTTATACAAAAAATTATAATGTTTTTTAAAAGAAAGGGAAACAGGACGTCCTATTCCCGTCTCGGTTTTGTCCATGTCCCAACAGGATTAGGACAGAATCGGGATGAGATGGGATACAGACAAAAATCCCATCCCATCCCTGTGAACCAAGACAGACCTGTCCCAGTTCTATCCTGACCCATGAATAGCTCTACTCAAAACAGCAGAGTTCAAAACCTAACACAATCCAAAGGCTTATGTTCAAAAGCAAAAAGAAAAAGAGAGAACAAAAACTTCAAACTTCTGCTGCTAGCATATATCTAGCGTCTCAATGCATTCATGGGTCGAGTCCAAACAAGATCCACCATCCGTTTCTTGAGCTTCTAAGGCTACATGCTGCTTTATCAAAAGAAAAAATGACTCTTCATATGTTCAATTATATACTGGCCACGGAAAGGCCCATGATCGTTCCAAGGTTTAGTGCCACCATAATGGAAAGTTTCTTCATCGAGATGTATAGGCTGGTGAGTGTTGGAAGATCATTGATATATACTTGTAATTTTTTTTTTTTTGGTCCAAAAGATGATATATACTTGTAATTAATATTTGAACAGTTAGTTGTTATTAGTGGTTCTATAACTAGGAGGGTACTATTATATATGGCATATTACAAATAATATAGTCTCGTTAGTGGCCTAAGTGGATGCATAGCGTATATCGAGCTTGAATGGTTCTGGGGCTTCCAAAGCACGGTGTCTTCAACTGTTTTTGGCTCTGAGCCTCTCACTAAACCCATTTACTCTAGATACATTTCTCAATTGGCAAATTCTAACGACAAGCCGTTGTTTCTCGTTGACACATTAGCCCTTGTAATTTACTTCACTCTTTGTTTTTTGTTTTTGTTTTGATATACCGGAAGGCATCACTCTTTCTTATTTGGTGATATTGTGTTTTATATTTCTAATTCTAAACGTCCTTCCCTTTTTTTTTTTCCCGAATGCATTTGGAGCTTGATGGTTCTGGTTTTAGAAGTTTGTAAAAGAAAATTTTTTCTCCCTAGAAATAATTTTAGGCATGATTCTATTTGTTCTCTGATTAGGAGGCTGGGGGGCAATGTGTGCTCTCAAAGCACGCGGAGGCTACAACTGTTTTCACATCTGAAGTTTTGAATGACACTACGAAAAATGCATAGCAGTCATTTGTTTCGACAAAAGAAGGGGAAGTAAGATCCTATACTGCTAGAATATAATTCTGTTCACTTCTTTGTGCCATTTTAAGCTTTTTTTAAGGCTTTCCATGAGGACCGATTCAACAATTGTTCTAATCTTCTTTTTTTATTTTTTTTAACTCAAAATATGAAAATATTCAATACAAATTCTATACTCCAGTGACATCCAAGTTTGTACAATACTTATATCAATGTCCACTGCTTATACTCAAGTTTACCGTTTGACCTGATACATAGCAAGGACAGAATTTTCGCCCTCACGCAGATGGAAAAGCTTCCGACTTTTTTTTTTTTTTGGGGATAAAGTAAACAAAATGACACTAACTAGTTAGAAGTTTTACCAAGAACTCAAATGTGGTAGGATCACCGTGGCCTCCTTGTCCTTGCCTCTGCATTGCCTCACAGTTTCAAGCTAACAATTTATATGACCTTCTGATTCTAATGCTTGTGGTGAGAGAAAGATTTTGAATTTTGAATATGAGATGAGAGATAAGGACGGCGAAGACATGGGTTAAAGACATCTAAGATGCGAAAGGGATCTGGGGAGGGGAAAGATGATCAGAGGAACAATTAAAGAATCTGAGCAAGTTTTTCTTTCTTTCTGAAAGAAGATTGTGAAGAAGAAATTATAGCCTTGGGGAAAGGAAAAGGAGAAGAGGAAGTCTATTAGTATTTGCTGAAGACAGAAAGACAAGAAAAAACTGGAAAAGGAGAGGGCATATAAAAGGCGGCAGAATAATTTTAGGGGGAACAAAAATTGATGTGACAAAGGATCCCTTTTTGAGAAGGGAAAAGGTTAAGACCAACCCAAGGAGATTGGCTAAATGACTTGAAACGCAGATTTTTTTTAATATAAATAAGAGTATCAAATTATGAATAGTAACTTTGTGAGGGGAGCCAAACATTAACCATTCTATGTATTGGCTTGGTGGAAGAGTATTTAATGTTATATTGATGATTTAAAATACATTCGATAGAAGCTGGATCCACATTGCAGAGTGTTCGTTTTTGTTGATTTCCATTTCTGGGCTTATCGTGTCCATCCCAGCCCAACACAATTAACAATGGGTGAGATTTGTTTATGACGTGGCGCAATTTGAATAATTAGATTCAGAGTGATGTAAAAAAAAAAAAGTTTCAGAGTGGTTTTTCTGAAAAAAATATTATACTCGTATCTAATTTTATTTGTTCAAATGAAAAAGTCAACAGATTAGATTTTTGGTGAGGATTGACAAGGCCACTTAAGAAGATGTTTGGGTGTAAATAAAATTATAATTTTAAAAACAATTTTATAATATACAAAATAAATATATAAGAAAAATTTTGAAAACACTTTTTAAAAATCTAAGCCATTCAAACACCTTCTAAGTATTGAGTTTCAATTTTTTGATTCAGCAACTGCGAGGTTTGATATCTCGGGAGAAACGACGTCGCTTGGGAGCGAAGGAGGGGCAGCGGATATAATGGGGACGGAGAGAAGTCAGTCGCCATTGCATTGCTGCCTGATTGACCAAGCTCTTCCTGGTTCTTTCGTCATTCCCTTATACTCTTCTTCCCCCATTGCGTTGCGATTAAGGTACGGTCCATCTCACACTTAGCGATAGGAAACATCTTTTTTTCTTTTTTAATTATGATTATGATAATCGATTGTTTGCTTGTATTTCGGTTGCCGAAAACGCGGGTAGGTTAGGAAGGAAGATGAAATAACAATCTTTCTTGCTTTTGTGCTTTTGACGAATCAAGCGGAGATCTTGATTGATCTGTTTTTTATCCCGCAATTGTCCTCGTCCTAGCTTTTCCTGTGCATCTTTGTTCATGATTGTCTCCTTTTGTTTGATTAGTTGCTGCGAAGGCGATTGGTATCGAATTTAGGGTTTGAGAAAAAAGCTTCCGAAGATATTTGTTGGCCTTTACTCGCGGAATCAGATGGCCGCGGCTGCGGCTTGCAAGCGAGTGGGGCAATTAGGAGCTAATTCAGGGATGAGCTTGATTGGCTTAGGAGCTTTTGGGACTTCAAAAGCATCGTCTTCATTGGATAGAGTATCTTCGGCTCTTTTGCCTCTGAATAAACCAATTTACTCTAGACACATTTCTCAACTGGCGAATTCTAACGGAAAGCGATTGTTTCTCGTTGACACATTAGCTCTTGTAATTTGCTTGACTCTTTCTTAGTCATTTAAAAAAATGCTCTCGAAACTTGATAGATTCTAACTTTTAGACGTTTGCAGAAGATTTTTCTTTTTCTAGAATTTTTGTTTCCTTTAGGCATGATTGTGGCATCCTGTCATTGTTCAGGTTAGGAGATTAGAAGGGCAAGGCTTGCCCTCAAAGCAGGCGGAGGCTATAACTGCTGCCATAACTGAAGTTTTGAATGACACTATGGAAAATGCATCCCAGTCATTTGTTTCAAAAGGAGAAATACAAAAAGTAAGATCCTCAGCTGCCACATTAAAATTATTTTCACTTTGCAAGTCTTATCATTTGAACCAAATCAATTTTTGTCCAATACTTATATTTATGCGGGATTTTCCTCATGTTTCTCTAATATGTTCTTCGGCTCAAAGTGTGAAAATATTCAATACAAGCTCTAATATTAGCTGATATGGTTCTCTTTTATGTCTTTCAGATTGAAATGATTCAAGAAGCCAATGTTTCAAAGTTCAAATCGGAAGTCCAGAGTTCACAGGTACTCATTAATTATGTAGAATTAGTATTATTTACAAATTTAAGGGCATCTGGGTAGATGTGGATTATGCAAATAATAAAATTGCTGTGAGATAGATTGGAAAGAAATTTTATCATACACTGTTGTCAATGCTGAAGATGTATTAAAGACATTTGTTGTTGGTGTATTGTTGCAAATGCTAATTACTCATTCTCTATTTTCTAAGCAGCTGCAAAACATTCTAATGCTGCTTTTGGGCTGAGTTTCCAAAAAGTGAATGGTTATCTGATCTAATTATCTAAATCATAAAATCAAATGGATTGCCCGTAACTTTTGAATTGTCATGTATTTTTCAACTGTGATAATTGCTGGTTTTCAGTTAAGAGATGACTCTTAATGTTCAGTGAAACCTTGTAATTTTAGGTATCCCCATATGTTTTAACTTCTTGCCACTCCCCAGTTAAGTTGTTTTATTTGTTTTCTTCTGCTGCTTAAAGGGTCAAAAGGAACGTCTATTTTAAAATTTACCAACAAAAGCATGCTAACATATGATACATGTAATATTTAATTACGTAAGGAAAGAAAAAAAAAAGTGAAGGTGATTTTAACCAAGTAAGAATATGATAGGAAATTAGTATCTTATATTCAGATGAACGACATCTGCTTCTTAGGATTTGTTCTGTTGTACTCTATTTAGCTAGCATCAATTTATTAGCACGTGATCTCTTTGGCTTGATGATCACTGTACTATTTGGATTTTTATAGTCTGAAAATTATTTGTGTTTGCTTCTTTCTATTTTAGGGTGTCCGGGAATAACTGCTTTAATCTTATCCTCCCGTGTTGTCTCTATTAATCATAGTGGTGATATATGATTTTTGTTTTTCTTAAATGTTGAGCATTGCCTTACATAATGCTAATCTTATCCTCCACTCTGCGCTATTATAGTTCAAATGGGTTATAGGAACAACTTTTTTGATGGAGAGAGCAGATTAGACATGGAAGAAATTTTCTTAGACCTGTAACGTTCAACCATTTGTAGGACACCATGCTCTCGTGGGAGTATATTTGTTGCTTGATTCTTCTTAACATTCTCCCAAGTTAACCAGATTTAGAATGGAAGTTCTTGCTTGCCTAACCTCTCATATCCTGAAAAAAAATTTTATGCAGGGCCATCATTTTTCTATGTTGCAACATGAAACTGAGAAGCTTCGGAATGATATAGAGAAGATGCGTAATGAATTAAGGTCTGTTATATGGTGGCCAACTTTGATCAACTGTACTTTTGGGTTTATTTTCTGATGTTGTGATTTTTATGTGTAAGCATATTGGTTGGGATGCAGATATGAGATAGATAAAGTCACTGCAGGGCAGCGGCTGGATTTGAACCTTGAAAGGGGGTGAGATTTAAATTCCAAAAGATGTTCATGATCAAGTATAATAAGACTTGTGTTAAATAGGATGGTTGTTTTAAAAGTTAATTTTGATTATCGTTTGCAAGTGCAGGAGAATAAGGGATGAATTAAACAATCAGAGTGCTGAAACTACAAATCTGACTAACAAACTTGATAGAGTAAGGATATGTTGTGCATGTGACTCTGAGAAGCATTTTTTTTCTAATTACTCTCATGATTTATGTCTCTCACTGTAATGTAATGTTCAGGAAATTCATGCTTTAAAAGCACAATTGGAAGCAGCAAAATACGAAGTTATAAAATACTGCATAGGGACCCTTGTTTCAATCTCTGCTGTTGGCCTTGCTGTTGTTCGCATTTTGATGTAAACATATGTTGTCCACTAACATTAGGTTGAAAGACCGACCCCAAAGATTAAATTTAAGGAGAGAATTGACTGTGCTATTGGAGCTGGAGGTGAAGACTGCGGCTCCCAGTAGGATGGAAATGGGCCCTTATTTAGCCCCATTTCCATATTCTTTTTGTGTAATTTGTTCGCACCATTGCTTATGGGTTGTTTTCATAGTTTATACAAGCCAGTTCAATGATGATGCATGAGGTCGTTGGATCATAATCCATAATTATCTTCCTTACTGGGGACGAATCATAAATGTCATGGTTATTGCGGTTTAGCTGTGCTTGCAATTACTTCTAGTCTTCCATACATCTTTTGATGATGACCTCTACTTCTACTTCTCCGGTGTGCCGGATAACGTGTGAAAAGAGCACAAGTTGAGGAGAGACTACATAGTGTGAGAAGTCCGTATCTGGTTAATAGGCATCAAGTAATCATTGCTGGAGACGCATTACCCTCCTTCGGCTAGTCTTGACGGTTGAGTGTGGGACTTGGATTTCTTTAGCTGGGAGAACTAATAGATTTATGATTGCATTTAGATTGTTTGAATGTTAAATGTTTATGGTAATGCATGCCTATAAAAATAAAGTGGGTTTAAGGGAGGCATATTACATCGTCATTATGGGGGTGGGAGCGGGTTGTGGTTTGGGACCAAAGGCCAGGTCATGTCTGGGTGAAGCGGATATATGAGACGCCGCAAAGTGAGCTGCGTAATAAATGTGGATGGCCGGTCCGGTCCGGTCGGTTGATAGAATGTGGATGCGAAGGAAATTTCGAGCAACAGGCTGTGATGATGCCAGAGGAGGGAGGGAGTAGGTGGGGAAGGAAGGTAGAACATGACGTTTTGATTGAAAGAGAACCAAAGGAGAAGGAAACGTCATGAGAGGTCAATTTATATGCTGTGAATGCGGCCACCAACTTCCTGCCGTAACCTTGCAATCCCAACAATGCCGCAATTGAAGAATTCGTTCATCTTCACACACCGAATGTGTGCCCTTAAGATTAGGATGATGGGGATCCGTATGTCTCAACTTGTGCCCTAGTTTCTGCTTGAGGCAACTGACAAAGCTGTCCTTTGGACTCAACCATTTTGAAACCGTCCCTCATCTCCTGCGTCATTATCTGGAATAGTGGATTGCTTAGTTTAGCTGACATTTGACTCCTTAATTCTAGAAAGTGTTTGGAAACATTCAAAAATACTTTTTAAAAACGCTTTTTTTATAAAACCAGACAAACTCTTTCACATATTTATTTTGTATACCGTAAAAGTACTTTTAAAATTATGGTTTTGATTTCATCCAAACACCCGTTTAGTTTGCCTTTTTATCATCAGCATAGGGCCCTCCTGTTCACGCTCGAGTTTTACTGAATATGACTTGGGAATATTCAAATTTATTATAAATTTCATTTTGTATTTTATATTCATGTATTAGTATTCACAGTCACCATTACTTAACGGCCAAAATATGACAGAAGTTTTCAAAAGGTCATAGATTTTAATATTATACGTCGGTTGTCTTTATTCACTCATTCCGAATCCGAGCTATGAATAAGATAAAGCGGATATTAATTTCAAAATGCCATCTTTATCTCCAAAACATATAAATTTAAGAGGTTGTTTAGTTCGGAATTTTTTTATATTAATTCCTGGTAAAGTATTCTAGCAATTATAATTTCTTTGATAAAGTATTCTAGCAATTATAATTTCTGTTTCGTTTTAGGTTTGTAAATATAGTATAATTTTTGGGGGAAAAACTAATAATAGGTCTCATTAAAGGCTGAGTAAATTTAATCTTCAAGAAATGATTTTGTGAAACTTTTCAACCATAGTAATACTAGTTTGGCTCATTAATATAATATCTAATTTATAGTTCAATTTGAACTACAAGTGGGATACTATGAGAGTTGTTAATATCTTTACATGACTTGTTAAGTATATTATTGAAGTTGTAAAAATACTATTATTTGAATTTTCTGAAAAATCTATTGTTAACTGCTATATTGAACTTGTTGATAGCATTATACAATTTGTTAATCGTGTTACTGAAGTTATAAAAACGTCACTTTTTGAATTTTCTGAAAAACTTGTTGTTAACTGCTATACTGAACTCGTTAATAGCATCAAAAAACTGATTAACCGTGTTACTGAAATTGTAAAAATTTTCAAAAAAAATAGTTGTCAGCCACTGAAGCTATGTTGACTGGTCATCAGTGAGGGTACTTGATTTTAAAAAAAAATTAAAGAATAATATGATTATTTTAGCAAATTTGCAAATCGTGATTTAATCACTCATATCTAAACTTGAATTTTGGAATCATTTTTTTTGGTCATTTTTCCTATGTTAACATTGTTGCGTGTGGATGAAAAGTTTTGTGTTGGTCCAAAAAAAGGTAAAAAGTTTTGTGTTTTCCTTTTGTTTTGTTTGTTTTGGCCTCTTTTTTTTTTGTTTTACAATTACAAGGCTATGTTAAAAGTCAAAAACACGATGATAGAAAAGGAAACAGACCATTTAGGAGCATTTAGATATAAGTTTTCTAAAACAACAAAAATGTATGCATTCCTCCACCGTTGGAACTTGTAACCCCAAGGTCGAACCTTGGCTTCTAGAGATCATTGGCGGCCGTTGGCAGGTGAAAGATGAGAAAGCATACTATTCTTCCTTCTTCTGGTAGTGTTTTTTCTGACCATGAAAAGATATGCATTCTCAGAACTTGACATTTTAGGTAAAACTTTGGCCTTTTAAATTAATTTCGAATGTTTTTATTCTAATAAAAGAATAAATTTAAACCGTCCGATATAATTAGATGATTCAATTGAATCAAGCTGCATAATTTTTTCCATTGGAGAGATAGATAGTGTCTAATATTCATGTTTCGAGATAAGGTTGCGATTGCATTTTTATTCCGAGGTAAGTCATTGATCTTCAACAAAGAAAAGGGGCAAATTACAACCGAACGACCTAAACGATTTGGCATAAAGATCAAATGAACAAATGCTTCAAGACAATTAAATCCCCCCAGATTCCTCTTCTTTCTTTGGAATCAATTATTGTTGCTGTTGCTGTTGTTCCCCTTCTTCATATACTCAGTCTATATAATTGACAGATATTTCAAAGACCAAAAAAAAAAAACAAAAAACCACAGAGAGAAGGACTGGAATGAGATCTAAGAGAGGTTGCACACCACGCGTTTACTGGGAATGGCAACGAGTCGACTCGCTCTGGGAGCGGTCAGTCCGAACACGTCGCTCATGTCCATCTCACTCGGCTTCATCCCGTCCGGCAATTCCCAAGTAAAACAATGAAGAAGGTGAGCCACCGCCATGTCCAGCGCGTAGAGTCCGAGTTGCATCCCGGGGCATGACCTCCGACCCGACCCGAACGGAATAAACTCGAAATTGCTTCCCTTGAAATCCGCCACGCCCTGTTTCAAAAATCGAGAAGGCTTAAAGGAGTCCGGGTCGTCCCAAGAGTTCTTGTCCCTCCCGATGGCCCACGCGTTGATCATGACACGTGACTTCTTGGGGATATAGTAGCCGGAAACCTCAGCATCTTCGGCGGTCTCATGGAGGAGCAGGGGGATGGGTGGGTGGAGGCGCAGAGTCTCCTTGAGGGCGCATTTGAGGAAGGTGAGCTTGTCGAAGTCGGACTCTTCAACTCTGCGATCCAAGCCGACCACGTTAGCGAGCTCTTGCTGGACCCGCCTTAGATCTTCCGGGTTTCTCATCAGCTCCGCCATCGCCCACTCTATTGCCGACGCCACCGTCTCGGTCCCACCAAACATCACGTCCTGTCATGCATTACCTTTTTTGTCGTCAATAAAAACATAAAAATTTCTCAAACTATATTTTAATTTTAATTTAAATAAAATATTTTTTTAAAAAAATAGCATTATTCACAAGTTCTAAATAATCACAGCTTATTGGTCAAATTTTATATTAGGTTAATATAATTTTTGATCCCTTAAATTTGTTATCATTTTGGTTTTATTTCCTAAAATTGGTTTAAGTTTTTATTAATTACAGAGAACAAAGCATCAAAACGTATGATTTAAATATTGAGAAATTAAAATCAAAATGAAAATAAATTTGAACGGCCAAAATTTGTATTAAGCCTTCATGTAATCTATGAAAAATCGTTAACCTAACCTATAATTATAAACTGGTAATTTGTTATATTATACACATTCTATTTGGATGTCATTTAACTTGAAAATCTCGCGAGGCCAACAGATACAAAAACAATTTACAGGCAATTGCTTGGGATCCGTCGCTGTCACACCTCTTGTATTTGAGGCGGACAATCTCCACATCCGTCGTTTGCTCCAACAAATAAAAAACAAGAGAGAAGCACAAAGCAAAGATGGTCATGATTTTGTGCTTTTGGTTTCCAGAATCGGCGTTTTGTAATAAACAAAACACGCATGTAGCCATCATCAGAATAGTCACAAATAAATAAAACATGCGTTTTTTCTTGTTCGGGAAAAAAACTAACAAGTTTTCCCCTGCTCTCTGTGGTTTGATGACATTGTAATATACACACAGATCATTAGCAGTAAATGTTTTTCTGTTTTCAAAATTCTATACAACGATTGAACTGAAACATAGTATTCTTCTGGTACTTAATATAGAACTTAGTTGTTTGGTTTTAAATATAAGACTTATTTTTTATATTTATCAATTTTTTCTAAATTATCACTATAGATACTCTCTTAACCATAATCAAGTAGAAGAGAGATGAAAGATATTAAAAAAGATAATTATGGTGTTTTAAGAAAAACATATCATATTTCTCATAATTAACTAATTTACTTAATTTTTTTAATATAATCAAATTAGTTAAATAGGTCTTATATTAAGGACGAGAAGAGTACTTTAATTTGTGTCTCTTTGACCGGTGTCGTAACAGTCAGAATCCGATCCCATTAACGTTGAAGAATCTTTTTAATTAACTTAAATTATGCCTCGCCGAGATTGGAGGTGACGGAGAAGCTAAGTGAGGAGAGATTAGCTAGAAGTGGGAAAATGAAGAAAGGGTGATGGATACGTGCGGGAGCTTACCATGATGATGGCTTTGATGTTATCCTTGGTGAGTTTGATGGAGTTGTGGAGATCCTCAGACTCACTCACTTGAGCTTCCTCACTGTAAAAAGCCATCAGCTCATCCACCATGTCCGTTTCCTCATCGCCGCAGCCATCGCTTTTACTCCTCCTTTTCTGGATATGCTCGTCGATGATTTTGTCTATGAATCTGTCCAGAGACGCTCGTGCCTTGGCCAGTCTGGCGTTCAG